TATTGAAACAAGGCGGAGGGGGAGGTTAAAAGGAAATGCTTTGCTTTGGTTTAAAATATAACATTTTTAAATCGTGTGTTGATGGTTTGAAATATGTCTAAGGTCAACTTCTGTACATCAAATTAGCGCCTGAAAATTTTTATTTGTTACTCGTCAGCTATGCACGCGAAGGTTGCCTGTACTTTTGCCCTGTACTTTTGGTTTTTTCTCAATTGCATCGCATTTGGAATAAGGTGTAAACCTTATGCGTTTTAGAGGATATGCAATTATAAGTATTAGAAATCAGTTATGACTCAAATTAACTCAAAAACACGTAGACTTTTTTAATGAATATATATATATATATATATATATATATATATATATATATATATATATCATAGAACATTAATTTCGCAAAAAGCTTTTTATACTATATTGCGACCATCTTTAGTGCTTCAAAGTAAGAAAGCAATAATGTGCAAAAGAACAAATATAAGTGAAATAACGTGATAATAAAAATCTCGAAATGAACGAAAGGAAGAACAAAATACAATGAAAAATTATAAAATTACAATAGGAACAATACTTGAAATTATAAATATTAAAACAAATGTAAGAGAATTAGCCGAAAATGAAGATCAATGAAACATTTGTCAAAATAAGGACGTTAAAACGAAAAAAATTCAAATCAACGTACAAAAATAATTTGTACAAACACATTCATTTATGTCAATTATACCGAAAATATTAGCTCTTGATCACAAAAGTAGCGAATAAAATGTATCCCTACTTTAAATCATACCAGCTTCTGTATATTAATGATATCAGAATATCGTTGTCAGTATCTTTCCGAGAGCGATTTGAACAGAAAGTGTTTCAGATTGAACGTTGCCGAGTCGCAAAACCACTAGAGACCCGCGAAAGCATTTCCTTCGTCGTAAGATGTTTGCAGTACACTTAGAGAATGGAGAGTAAGCTCGCTTGTTTTCTTGAGAAAACGAAGCTTTTCAATATAAGCTAAAAAGCATCATTTCCAATCAGGTAAGAATAAAAGCTTTTCCCGTTTTATTTTTGAGCTTTTTTTTCATATATCTATAGAATAACTTTTTTCTTCCTTTTTTCGTTTTTGACTACGAAAGCTCTTACTTGCGTACTCCAAAGTGTCTCTCACAAAACATTGAAGTATTCGTAAAATAATTACATGTTTTCTGGAAATATTCAATTACAAATATTCAATATTCAATTACAATTCGATAGTAATCGAAAATCCGCCGCCATCGAACCTCAAATCCTAGGACCTCCCGGTCAGCAGAAATGCTGCCCTTGAGAAATCTCAGCCGGTACCTTAAATGAAGACCCTGCTTTAAGGTAGTGAAGGCTACATATAGAAAGGTAGGGCGGAACTACCAAAGAGCTCTTACAAATAATTGAAAAGACTTGTCACCTAAAAATGTTTAAATTATTAACCAATATGGGTGACAGGAGTTGACGCGCCCGGAAAATCTCTCGATGCTTATTCCTGATACCGAATGAAGTATTCGACAAAATCACCATAAAAGATGAAGGAATATCATAATATTCAGTTATCTAATACATAAAAATCAATGTTTGTTTGTTTGTGTTTATGCACTACTGATTGCGACAGAACTTTGTCATCCTATTACTTGCACTTGCGCCAAGAATATAGGCATTGTACAATGGGAATGTGCGTATGTCTGTCGCACTTAGGCACGCGTTGATGATGATTTTATGCGTTTATGCTGAGTCACGCGCTCCTGAACAGAAACTTTACGCATCCCGCCGTATACTCGAGAATTAAGCGCATCTTCGCTCCATATTCTGCCCCTTTGACTATGAAATATCGGCTGGGATTATTAATCGTTGCCTCGGACAAGTAAATCAAATTTTTCCAAGATAGTGCTATAGCGAATGTTTGCTCAAACTTGTGACTGAATGTTTTAAAAATAGGATTCTTGAAAATCATGCTTAAACCAGGACATAGAACATGAAAGTCTCATGAATTAAATTTTTTGCTGAACGTAGCGTAAAACGTGAGTAACAATCACGTGACCAATAGCGAAGCATAGTGACATTGCAATAGCGAAGCATTACCGGGTCTACTAGTTTACCATAAAATTGTGTAGTGTTTTGTCTTGGTTATTCCCTTCCTACATTGGAGTATGAAATATTGAAAACTACCTGAAGTACTCCGCATTGCCCAGGTATTTATTTATTAGAACTATTAAACGAAAATAAATGTATCCTACCTACCTGTAGTGAACGCCAGCCTACCCTGCCCTGTTCTACTCCACCCTGTCCGATCTCATCCTCCCCTCCCCCCGCTCCTCCGTCTCTCTCCTCACTGTGCCTGCCTCTTCCGGCTCCGCCATGTTTGTTACGATTGAATCATTGTCGCATATTTAAGGCAAACTTCCAGTAATAATTTTTACCTTCATGTACTCGAAGCTTAATTGCGTTATTGGTGTGATTCAAAGTGCATTAAGTAGGACATTTTGTATGCTTTCAGAAATGTTCAGCCCTTTTGGCTAAATGTTCTCACCGTTTTCGAAATATTCGCAGAAATCTGAAAGAGTGCACATTTAAGTTTTATTTTAAGATGTAGGAAAGTGAGATGAACGGATGTTTACGAAATATCATTTATACGGTAACATTTATTTTATTTTGAACTTCACGTGTTCGAAATTTCGTGAAAGTAGGAAAAAAAAACTACGGATTCGTATAAAAACCAAACATTCTTCTTTGTAAAAGGCATTTTTATTATATAGTATTAAATTGCAGTAAAATATAATAAAAATAATTTAAAATTAATGTACCCCCAGTTATGCCCGGCAAAATACTCTACCATTCAATGAAAACCGCATCAAAGTCAGTTTAGATGTTCCAAAGCTTAACCGGATAGTCACGCAAAAATTGGAAAAAACAACAGCAGATGATTCGGATTTTAAATCTTCAAAATATCCATACGAGAATGCAAAAGGAAAGTTAATTTGAAATCACAGACTAATTGAAATATACACAAAATCAGCATAAAACTGCAGGTGGTCTCAAAATAAACTATTTGTAAATTATAATTTCAGAAGCAATTTACTCATTTTTTGTGGAATATAAATGTTGATTTTTTGTCTGTGCGAATTCATCGTTTAATTACAATTGTATTCGTGGAATGCTATTAAAAAAACAATTATGGAAAATCCGTGAGGTATTAATAAGCGTTAATAAGTTAATTTAAAGTGTACTTAGTGTATCCAGAATACTTCAAATGCTTCTCACATATTATAGCCACCTTTAGTGACAAGAGCAGGCTAACGAGGTTGGCGTGCTCTGAGCAAAATTTGAATTTCAAAATACTTGGATAGGATTAGACATGCGAAAGGAGGGGAGGTAGTTCCAACGATTATTTGTTAGATTAAAACGAGAAAAAAAGAATAAAGAAGTTCACCATCGGTAATCATTTGAAGCTTTCTTTATTTAATTCCATTATTGATTTTATTTGGAACGGCTGATCAAACAGACAACTTTTCTCTTGTTATTAATTTGTTACACAACTATTTTATACCTTAATTGAATAATGTTCAATTGCTAGAGCTACATTCTCAGGAGAATGGCACTCATTATGATGAGATTGTTACCCAGAATGAAAAAAAAAATCAGTATTACAGTGTTCCGTCGTGAAAGTGAGTATTAGATTAGTGTGTGTTTTAGATTTCTTTCCGTTAAATTGTGCAATTGATTGTATTTAGTTATTAATTACGTGCATTAGACAATATATCCTAAGTCTAAAAATCAGCATCAATGAATTTGTGGCAAATATAAATAGGCGCTTATGAGTAGCAGGTGTCCGTGTGTGTGTAACGTTAGGGAATGTGGGAATGTGAATTTAGTGAATGTTCTGTGACTTGGAAATTATCATTGTTGTGTTCTTCAACATTGCGTGGAAGTCTCCTTTGAGTTTCATTTCCTCGAAAATTAGAAGACACATCAGCAAAGATACATCCTTCTGATAATAGTGTTGTCATTAGGTCTCGTTAGGAAACTCTTGATTTCGCAATGATAGCAATAAAATGGCAACTTGTTACTTGCGAGTTTAATGTCGGAGCATAACGAAACGTTTGCAAAAGGGTATTATATAAATGAAGTTTAAATTTAAAGTTTTCCGTGACTAAAGATATTTCGAGAACTGGTGTCCTTTGTCGTGCCCGAGTCGTTCTCAGCGTGATGACTTCCAGATATTTACAGCACCTCCATAATGCAACTAACGTGCATTCGCTAAATTGACATGTAGCTTTGACTTTACATTGATGACACAAGTGATTGGAACCAGGGCCGGTTTAATGTAGAAGCACGTGTTTCACGTGCCGCGGGTCTTGCGCATTTGCTCCTTTTTGTAAATGTTACAGAAACTTAGTTAACATGAAAAAAATAAAAATATGGAATATAGTTTATGTAATTAAAATATAATTCATTTAACTCATCGTAAGATAAACGGCAATAGCGCCTCACTGCTCATGGTTTAATAATGAATGTTTTCAAAACAATGTTTTTGGAAGTTTACTTGAAAATGACTCACTAATTTTCAAAGATCTCTTTTAAATAAAATAAGTTTCATTATAAGATCATAGCAACAAAACTCCACTGGTCCGCTAAACGTTTTTCAATTCAGAATTTTTTTTTATTTAAGGTCGCATCTACTACTAGGTCATTAGCGTCCACTGTTGCTTGTAACGGTATAGTAACTGTGAGGATTGGTAAATACATTTATGAATTCGGGTCCTACCCCAGGACCCTAGAATTCCAAACGTGTCTGCTAGACTGGCAGGCATGCAGACTTGAAGTGCTAGTGTATCGTCAGGCCTTTGGGTGTGGCTCCTAGAGCTCCAGTTACTTCTGGGACAAAGCGACCTTCCGCTTCCAGTCTTTCCAGCTCTATCTAGAGTCTTGAAATTTTGGTTTATTGTGTTTTCTGGAAACTACTGGAATGTTTATGTCCCTATTCATACTTGTTTCTCTTCAACGTCGGCCAGATTTGACATATTAAAATCCAACCGATAGTCTGCCTAGAACTTAAAATCCCAGAGTATTTTCGTATTGGAATTATTGACTACCCTGAGTGGGTTGTGTTCCCATCAGAATGTGGATTGCTCTGTTGCCAGCAATCCAAATTGTCTGCACATATTCCAGTGCATGGCAATGCTTGAAATCTGTTCCAGCAGTGTACCTGATTACTGGTACTGCCCGGGTGTTAATAGCCTGAATAAGATTTTCTCCGTTGTGCTTGGTTCTGAGAAGCTCTTGAACACATCGCTTGTATTTTGACGTCTGAACACGTTGATGGCAGATAACTGCCGCCTGATGAATGTTTAGGTACTTGTTAGCTTCCTCCAGGAATTTGCCACTTATTGCTGTCTTGTCGGAGAATTCGATATCGATGTGTGGATGATTTTGAGTGGATACTGCGAGCGGTACTCTTGTATAGGACGAACTTCACTCCGATGTCATGTGCGTAAATGTACTCTTTAGCAGCGACTAGCTCCGTTTCGACTTTCCGGACAATTTAAGGTCATTCTTGTAGAGAAGATGGAAAAATCTAGGATTAGTTTGGTATCCGAGCCGGGTCATCCAAAGGATTGCGGAGAGAGGCAATCTCCATTCATTTTCGAGAGTGTATCCCTCAGCGACAATGTTGTTTCAGAGGCACACTAATACTTGGAGGACCTTCTATATTTTTTACTTACGCCTAGAACTTCTAAGGTATTTTCTATTCCATTTTGTTGCATAGAGTCATATGCCTTGTAGTCGATCCAGGCGACGTGCAAGCTCGGCCACGTGTCTTTCGTTCTGAAGATTCACATTATCTATGATCAACGCAACGCAACATTTGTTTGTGTGGATTTTGTGGATGTATCATTTGTGCACGCAACATTTGTTTGTGTGAATCCATTTGTTACAGTCAACATTTTGTTACAGTCAGAAGGCCGGCACAATAATCATTAACAATAATAATGATAATTATTGATAATAATAACAATAATAATTTCTTTTACTAATAGTTATGATTGATATTGTTTTATGAATGTAAAAAATGTATTTTCTAACAACTGACGTAACGTACAGAGGCAGAAAACACAAGTGAGACTTATACCCCAAGTCCAATTGCTCCTGAACTAAACGCGCTCGTGTTGTGTGTTGCGCAGGACGACTTCGACCCGCTGCGCTCGCTGTGCTACCCGGACACGGACGTGTTCCTGCTGTGCTTCAGCGTGGTGTGCCCCACGTCGTTCCAGAACATCTCGGACAAGTGGCTGCCCGAGGTGCGGCGGCGCTGCCCCGACGCGGCGCTGCTGCTCATCGGCACGCAGAGCGACCGGCGGCGCGACGTGCGCCTGCTGCAGCAGCTGGCGCGCTACAAGCAGGCGCCGGTGACGGAGGCGCAGGCGCGGGAGCTGGCGCGGCGGATCGGCGCCGCCACCTACGTGGAGACGTCGGCGCTCACGCAACGCGACCTCAAGGAGGCCTTCGACCAGGCCATCGTGTGCGCCCTGCGCCGCCGCGGCGCGCTCTACTCCGCCTCGTCGTCGACGTCGTCCGCCGCGGGCGTCGCTGCCGCCTCCGCCGCAGGCGCCGCCAGGCACAGACAGCTCGGTGACAAAAAGAAACAATCGCTGTGGCAGAAGTTGTGTTGTTTTTCCTAGAGGGACTGCCGTTGTCGAGAGGGAGGGAGGGACAGAAGGGAAGACGGGATGGACGTGTGAGACAGCACGCCCCGAGGGAGGGCGGTCGCGACGCCCCAGAGGGTCTTCTACTCGCCGCCAGGGTCGCCACGGCGCCGCTCTGCAATGCAATAAACAAGTACAGGAAGATTATACGCGGAGCTGCTATGGACGTGGAGAGCGGGAATTTGGAGGGTCGCATTGAACTGATGGACACTGAAAATCGTTTCTGGTAGAATATTTGTTTTTCTTTGAGTCCAATGCTTTTAAATCCAAAGTGTTATAGGACTTCCAATTATTCATTTCAGGTCCAGTGGTTTGAATTGTTTCAAGAAGTTGATACACATTTGCATCTCACTCCGAGACGGTGATGATGCAAGAATCATTTCCGCCTTGAGAAATCGTATTGTTAATTTCCGAAGTTTTGTTCCTTTTTCCTGGATTTTTAAAATTTGTTTCTAAATGAGAAACATTGGTTTCTTGTATAGAAAATACCCGTTTAATATTAATTGGGAATTTATTCAAAAGTTGTTTGTGCATCATTTGAAATGTATTTTAATGTTAATAATTTTTGAAGAACAAAATTACATATGGAATTATCCTTATAAAATATACATTAATTACTTGTTAAATATTGTTTGAGTGTTAGGTTTTTACTTGCAGGAACATTGTAATGAAAATCATATTTCCAATGTTATGAATACTCTCCACGCATAGTCACAATGTCTACTTTTGAAGATTTTTATTCCTAAAATGGCAGCAATCTGTAAGATAATGTGTTTTAATTGTGGCTAACATTGCCAATTGGCTGTGTGTAAATGAAACACTTAATGGAAATATGTTAATTAAGAATGTGACTACTTTAAACAAAGAAACAACATCCCAGAATGTTAATGTACATTTGAGATGAATGAAAACTTACAATAATGGGAGAATGGATATAAGTACATACTATTCAAAAATGATTTTTAAAATGGGTAAAGTGAATATGTATTAGGTGTGAGAGAAGTATGCTAATAATACATTTTATTCAAAATGTATTTGGCCTTTCCGTGTGGTTCAATGTAAACATTAGTTTCAAAAAACAACTTATTTTTATGCAATAATGGAGTGTGTAATTTGGTTTGCAAAGAATTGTAAATAGGCATGCCATTTATGCCTCCAAAACTTTTCTTTCTTCACTTCCCTTGCTCTGTGATTTTATTGAGTAGTAATCTTTCTCATTCTTCTTTAATATTTTATTTGAATGAGATATCAGCTCTTTGTAACAGTAGTATCTGAAAGGAAGCCAAATTGTTTTTCCAGATAAGACTGGCATCAAAGCTTTGAGGATTAAGCCATGTTTCTTTGATTTTAAATAAAGTGTTTTTTTGTGGTTTTTTTATGCTAAAAGATTATAAAATACCAGTGATTTCCAGATAATAGAAGTTTGAATTTTTTTCTCAAGTGATAATGTGTTTTGCTGAAAATGGAAATTGATGGTATATGATTGTGATATGGTATTGAAATTCAATTAGTGAGCATTTAATTACAGTTTCTTCATGGACTTATTCAAGCAATTTCATCATCAATAATTTTCTAAAGTAATAAAAAGTATAAATTATATGTTAATCACACATTTGTGTAGAGACTATAAAATTAGATACAATCATACACCGTATCATATATCAGTTCAGAGTTATAAATATGATATGAAAAGAGAAACCAGTCATTTTTTAAATTATTATACACTATTATTTAGGTTTAAACATTTTGTCTTCCATCTGCAATTTACTTATAATAAAGCATTTGCTGTTCAAGAGTTGTCTATGCTAAGCCTCCAAAACATTGGATTGGATTGTTATAAAAATCATTGTTTCATCGGTTGTAAAATTCTGATTTCCTTTTAAAACATTGTCACTTTCATTGAAATATCAATTTATTTTAATATGATAAAACAACATTTCTGTGAATTAATGATGTTGATATGGTGTGTTAGAGAGGAGAAAAAATATATATTACATCGCTCATGTGTTAAAAAATACAATTTGTTTTTGCAGTTTGTAAATTTTTATTTAATACATATGACCATACTGTTCCCTGTAGTTTCAATGATGATTAGTGTGGAAGACGTCTTCCATAAGGCTAGAAAGAAGAAATTGTGTGAATAAAAATAGTGAAAATCTGTAGAATTCTCTGCTTTTCTTGTTCCACTGTTAGTGATATTTATTTTGTACTTGGGAAGAAACAGTATTACAAACTATGTTTACTTTTGAAGCTCCTAAAATCTATATTAACACTTTCTGTAGTTTTCCAAAGATGTATAGTCAGATTTATTTACAATCTTAATACAGCAAGAGCTTTCTTTTCTGAGACAACCCCTCTAGAATGTTCCTGCAAGAATGTTCCTTTGTTGGGAATTGTGAATGTGATATTTTATAACAATATTTTAAAATATACCCCTATACCTTAAACAAAGTATGGTATTATCCGTATAACTTGTGTGATGTGTGGTAATACTTCTGAATTTGAATATGATTCATATTCTGGGAATTTTTCTTTCTGAAGAACTTCCAGAATTATAGACATTGTAAAACAAATTTTGCTCGTACCAAGTGACTTTCACAATATTATTTATGCTTTTAAAGTCAATAATATTTTAAAGATTAGAGTACATTTTCTTCAAATTGATACACATAAAAAACTTACATTTTTTCATTTCAAGAGATTTAAAATCAGTAATGTATGCAAATAATGAGAAAAGTAACTTTTTTGTTGTTTTATTAATTAAAAATCAGTTACACAAATTAAAATCAAAAGAGTTTCTATTTTTACTACATTGGAAAATATGCATTTTTGAATACTGCAATGATCAAATTAAATAATATTTGTTTTAGCCACTTGTGTACCCTGTATTTTATTACCAATTCACAGGTAAATGGAAAACATGATATTGTGTTTTCCATGATTTCTTCTTTTTTCTTTTTGTTGACTGATTGGAGTTGTAATATAGCTTATGATGATAATTTAATGTTATTTCATACACATTTTCACAAAAAAATGAGTGCTTATTGTATTCAGTGTAAGTAGTTTTAACTGCACATTTTTAAGCAATCCCAAATACACTCCATTACATACATTTTAAAGAAACCTTCAACTATATTAGTTTTAGACATATACAAGTAGCTACATGTCTTCTTATGTCTGTGATCAAACTTTATACTTGTTTTTATTTTTACAGTAAAGCTCTTACGGTTGTGTGTAATATTCAAGAGAAAGATGATATTTTGCATGTATATATGAATTTGTGTAAATCATTCTTTATTAGTTATTTAAATAAGGAACACAAACTGAGATAATACCCCCTTCCTTGTTCTATATTTGAAAAAATTCCTATTCTGTAGATATACTTCTATGATAGTGATAACTGTCAAGTGTTGGTGTTTATATTATTGTCTCTCTGTAAAAATCAAAAATTGCACTTAGTAATTAGTCTGTACTATTATTGTTTAGATTGATGTTTACACTGGCAATGTGCACAACATAAGAAAGTGATCACCATCAGAAACTTAATTAATTGGTTATTTTGCTTAATATTTTCTGTAGAAATAATTCATACATTAAGACAATGACTGATTAGTATACTTTACTTGTATTTATTTTTAAAACTACATGTATGTGCAGAATCAAAATATGTAGGCCACAATATATTTACTTTTTAAATATGATTTGAGCTTTTAATATTTACATGGACACAGTAGAGAATATTGATTATGTTAACAGGTAATATTTCCATCTGTTTCATATCTAGTGGTACAACATTGGTTTTATAATCATTCTCTTGCAGAGGGTATATGTAGTAATTTAAAAGAAATGTACAGATGAGTTTTTATATAAATGCATATCAAATTATATTTCAGGCATGCAAAATATCCGGATAGCTTTGTGTTGTGGTTCATTAATTCATTTTTATTTTGTCATTTCATGTTGGTTGTGTTAAAAATCTTTTATCTTTGTGCATACCATGTATTTTTGAATGTTCTTTAAAAAAGACAGGATTTCTACAAACCTGGGAAGGGGTTTAACTTTACTACTAAGATATTTAGCTCTTCAGGAGAAGAGAGAATAAATTATGAATCTTAATGTCTAGTTTCTTTCAATACATTTATTCATATCCTGATAAATGTTCACTTTTTACCTTCCAAATCAGCTTCCTGTTTTTCCTTTCCTGTAAAGTCACTTAAACTGGCTGGAACGACTGCAAATGAAATATAATTTTGTAATTATGATTAAAAGAATAAAACAATAGAAAGAACACAAATATGAAGTAGTCATACCAGTAGGAGTCTGGAAGTCACACTGGTAGATTTGAAAAGTATTACCAACTATTATACAACAGCTTGTTTGTGTCTATTCTGAGTGAAATTTCAATTTTTAGGAGGAAAATATAAGTTCATATATATCATATTAATTTTGGCAAGGCTGGAAATTCTTTGTAATTGAAGGTGCTTATGTTTTTAATCTTTTCACTATTAGACACTTAGAAAATTTCATGTTCAGTTTCTTTAAAATAATTCTGTAGAAACAATTTTTCAAAACTACTTCAACAAGACTATTCTTTCTGGCTCCAACATTTTTCTTTAAACATCTTGTTTGGTTAGAGCTCATTGCACTAAATTACCGGAAAGAAAACTTTTACATTTTCAAAAATTAGACACAAGTGTTCCAAATGAAGCTAGATTAAATAAAGTAATGGGAAGTGGAGCCACATCATATAGACAGGCATAGACTACTATATATATTAGGCATTTAAATTAATTGTTTTAGAAATGAATATAACTGCCAGAAGCAACATATAGGATGTAAATTACAATGTGTGTTATTGCACAAAATGTAGTTTCTTAGAGCTCTTATAATGTGGATTGACTTTAAACTATTTGCAATGCTTTCTGATAAATAAAAACTGTATTTGCAGTTTCAAAGAACTGTTACTGAACCTAGATGCACTTACAAGGCTACCTATGATTGTTACATTGAATATTTATACCCACTCCAGGTGGTTCCAAGTTCAACATGCAAATCTTCCACCCTCAGATATTCAGGCAATGCTGATTTAGCCTGAATACTGGAACACAAATCCAGATGTACTTTCAACAGCAACAGCTCATATTACACATGAGCAGATTTTATATTCATATATTTGTAGAATGATTGCACAACTTTATAGCTAGTAGTAATATCATCATCATTTAAATACTTTCCTCCTTTCAGAGTTATAGTTGGTTTCACATTATCCTTATAAATATTTACAAAACAATTTGTTACTTACAATATTTTAGTCTTATTATTTTCATAAGCTTATCTCTATCTTCTACACCCTCATACCACCCTTTCATCTCACAATCTCAAAGACTTCTTTGGTTTTATTTTTTCGAACATACCCTACATGTTTGTTATTCAAGATAATTTTCGAACATAATGCTTTTATTTCTTCAATATTAACCTTTTAATTATTTCATGTACATTGTTTTCAAAACTTTAGTAAGTTTTTGTTAAATCACAATAATTTTTCAGAAATACTTTAACAAGATTTTCATGTCAGCAATAAATTTCCTAAATGTTTTGTACTCTCAGATCACAATGCACATGAAGCCACTTTTATTAAAACTTTTACTCTTCAAAAATTACACATGCATAACTTTTTTAACCTTTGGTACTTTATTAATATTTGCACTAGATATGTTTTTGTTTTTTTACTGAATTTAAACACAGAATCATTAAATTGTCTGTGACGAGATTTCTTGAAATATAATATATTTTGAGTACAAGTGAGCCAAAAAGGGGCATTTTCAAAATTACTCACTGAAAATCCTCTCAAAAACAATTTTTTTTCTCCAAGATTTTAATGTTAAATAATAGATTGCTCTCTTATGATATTTAAAATGTTTTATGTCAATTTAACTATTAGATGGACCCAAAAAATTAAAATGCAAACATATGTTTGTTATTAAACGCTGTTTGTCTGTTTGAATGAAGTATGTTCCACACATAACTTTGTCAGATTATACATACATACATACATACCAGATATACAATCCCTATCCAAGTCTCAAATAGTGTGTTGATATAATATAATGAGACAATTTTTTAATTACTTTTTTATTTTTTTAAATTTATTTTTATTATTTTGTTAGTTTGATGCAGAGAATGCTTCTTGGTCTTCACGCTAGCTTTCAATAGCCAAATAATTAATTTAACTAGTAATAACAAGATTTTAAATATGTTTATAAAAATTGATATTTCTTCTTTCAGTAAATCTTTCTTGATTAGTTTCTTTCTCAGTTGGGGTGAAAATTCAAAAACGTTTGAACTAACAGACTGGTAAAACCCTATTCTTTTCTTTTTAATCAGTGGAGAGATTTCTTCTAAAAGGTATCAATGATTTCATGAATTTTTGAGTGAGGGTAATGTGATTTCACTTCATAATGATGGCAACTAGCTCATCTTCTGGAGTGTTTTACTTAGTCATTCCCAAGGGGTGCGATACCCCAACCCAATGTTTTAATCATTTAATTCCCAGAAAAAATTCTAAACTACATCCCACGGGGTAAAATTTGAAGTGAGGTCAAATTAAAAAATGTGCAAACCTAGAAATGTGAATGCAAAGAAGTATCAAAACCATATATACAGGCTCATTTATGTGAAAGACTATATATAATACATTGGTTTTCTTTTGAAGTCTGAAAATAAATGAAGATGTTAAAATATAAGAGGAACTTATTTTAAAAAGTGAAACAATAAAAATATGAGTCAATTTGTTGGGAGGCATGAGTAATACCAGTATTAACCACATAATGGAATGTTACAAAATAGACTTCAAGAGGAATGTTTGTAAGTGTCAAGAGTTGTTTCACAGAGCCAGGAGGTAGGACAGAAAGGGTTTAATTTTGCAAATTTTTTTAATGGCTCTATTCAAAAAAAGGAACACTTCAAGCTTACAATGCAACATTTCTTTTAGATGCAAATGTTTTTGTTGTTACAGGATAAACTCTTGATTTCTAATGTACAATATTTTGAAAATTGCAAATTAAAACGAAATAAGACAACTAATGGGTTCATATAGCATTTTAACATCCACCACAAACTCAATATCTACTTAAATTCTCATTAATGTAATAAACTTTTATAAAAACATAGCTTAATCTATTCTGTTCTTATTGAAATGAATTAAAATCTAAAAATTTACCTAGTAGTAGTATAGTGAGTTATATTACTCCCTAGGGTGTCTCTCACATCCCAGCCTCCACATCTCTCTATCAGTGGAGTCGTCATAACTCAATCCACTTTTCACCACTGCCTCATCCACTCCTTCTCCCCATGTAAGTCTAGGTCTTTCTCTTCTTCGATGGCTAGCTGGTTGCCATTACCACAATATTTTTTGTCAACGTTCTTTGTTCATTTTTTTGCATGAGCCCATACCATTTTAGTCTTTATTGAGTATCTGTACAACAGTCTTATATAATTTTCTTTTTACACACTTAATTTATCTTTCCATATCAGTGGATGTAATTTTCTTGTAGTCACTTTACTTTTGGTGATTCTGTTTCTAATATCTTGCATACTGCCTCCATTTGTGTTTATTTCTGTACCAAGGTATGTGAACTTTTCACAGGGTTTTGCTCCCAATTAATTTACTTTAAAAAGAAATTAGATTGTACTAAGTGTTTTAATACAAGAGAATTTGTATGTATTAAATAATAAAACAATTATTCTTCAACTTTTATAATTAACTATTTGATTAGAAGTCATCTTAGAAAATAATTTTTATTGGGAAATAAATATGTTAATAAAAATAAATCATTCATTTAACCAAGAATTTTGAAACATTTACTCATATTTAAAATATCAAACTTCACAGTAGAAAATAACAATACAACATATTTTTATCTCTCAAGAATGTGGACATCTCTGAAAAGCTCCATTTTCTTGATCTGATGATTTAGAAGATAAAATATCTACAGAAATCATTCATTTTCATTACTAAATAAAGGAATAAATCCATCCATTATCAAAATTAAAAGAGTAATAGATAAACAGATCTGAAATAATATCAGGTATCATGTTATGTCCAAATTATGAGGTCGAATAAGCATTTAATGTCTGTAATTACTATTCCTTCATATACTATAGGAGTGATTAGTGATAGGATCAAATAAAAGAAAGTACATGTATAAAAATGATAAAGTTCCGATTTTCATTAAAATCTATAAATTTTGAAAGTTGCAAAAGTTTATATTTATTTTCGAACATGACCTACACCTCTTCTAAAAAGGCCAGAGATTTCTTTCTCAATGTAATTTATGTCTTAAATTTACATTTTAATTATATCTCTCACTCCTAAAAAATGAGTAGTGGCTGCGTAAAAACTAGTAATACTATTAGAGGAAGAAAGGTTTGGTTTCGGTAAGTAGGATCTATGCCGCGCATTCCCACTGGTTTTATTCACGAGATGACATCAACTTCCCAAGAAACCTCCGTAATCTCAAGCCTCAATCAGGTTCGTTTCTAATCCTCTTCATTTCAATGTAAGTTCTAAGCATTCAGAACTGTTCTGTAATATACGTGGGAGTGTAGGCAAAACGTAGTGTAGGGATTTCGTTTGTTTTTCGCGCGCTTGGTAGCAGTAATGCGTATGCACGAGTTGTCGCCGTTTGACAATAAGCTTTGATTCGTTGTTGCATTTGACGTTTGGTCAGTACTGCCAAAACTTTTGCCATCAGTAGGGAAGATAATTTTCGTGTTACTTCTCCGATAACAGTGGTGAAAAGGTTGCGTTATATTGGTCTTTCACTATATTAGAACGTGCCGTTTCAGTTCGGCTAGAATCAATTGCTGTCACAATGGAAATGGATCCTTGGTTAACGAACGGAAACGAATGTCAGTCTGTTAAGACAAGCAAGTTTGAAGACGATTTTGTCCCATGTGAGAAGCTACCTGACAGTGAGGAATATTTGGCTACCCTAGGTACTTACCTTATAATTTTGTATGTTAGTGTAATTGAATACTGTTACTGACCTTGATCTGCTGGATTTTAGTATTCTTTTTTTCCTTTCTCCTTAATCTCGCTTCTCTTCTTTGTCGATAGCCAACAGGTTGTTGTGGTATGTAACGCGCTTTATCTATGTGTTTTTTAAAGTGCCGAGTCAATAGTAACTGTTATTTCCTGTGTTTTTGGAAAAAAATGGTTTATTTTATTTTTGAGTTAAGAAAGTGGTAAGATGTGTGTGGTTGGTACAATTATGATTTTTTATTATGTACTTCTAAAATTTTAAGTAATCAATGTCGCCTCAAGATAATTAAAATATTTAGAATATTGGAATATTTATCACTCTCATCATGGGAATAGCAAATAAAACACTTGTAAAAGGGTTTATTAAAATATTAATAACTTTTGCATCCCTGTCAATTATTTTTATTATCCCAGTAGTAATTGTTTAAAGATGAGTTCTTGATTTCAACTGCAAACTTATAGAAATAAACTAGGGTGGCATTTTTTAAATAAGTGCTTAAGTCTTTAGTAAGTCAAGTGATTTCCTAAATTTTCAGAAAGAAAATTAGCAAAATTGAAGGAACGGCAGAGCAAGAAAGATTTAGTGGAGTCTTTAGAAGAAACCAGGAAATCTTGTATGCTGAGGTTGGTAACAGAAGGAACTTCAATTGCTGGTGTGCAAGAAGATTTGGATTTGGACATTCCAGTCAACAACTCTCATGCTAGTAGCACGTTACTGAGACACATTGCTCCAGAACGACAAGCATTAACATTAGGTGAACTAGTAGAATTACTGAAAGCCGATCAACTTTCAGAGAAATTGGCAGAAGACAATTCTGATATAGAAGTCAGTAGCGAAGACCCTCAGAAGTGAACAAACTTTGAAATTCACAATGGCTTCTAAATATTTAGGCCTGCCCACATATTGCATAGTGACAGGTGCTAGTCAAGGCATAGGATCAAAAATTGCTGTTGAACTTTCTCGAAAATTTGCCAAAGGCTCACTTATTGTACTTTTAGCAAGATCCGTTGCTGGCCTTGATAAAACCAAAGATCTCATTTCAAAAGCCAATCCAGATATTGTTGTTTATACTCATTCAGTAGATCTTTCAAAACCCAATGCTGAGGAATATGAATCAATTATTGATAAGTCATTACGTGATTCAGATCTTTCTGCTTCAAAATTTGATCTAGGTTCAATTGTTCATAATGCAGGATCTGTGGGAGATATAAAAGAATATTGTGCAGATATGTCAGATCCAAAAAAGATGGAGGAATATTTCTCTCTCAATCTTTTTTCTGTTATGTGTCTTACTTCAGTATTTTTGAAAATTTTCCCAAAAGATGTCGTTAAAAACCGATTAATTATTAATATTACTTCTTTATGTGCTGTTAAGCCATTTAAAAGTTTGGGCTATTACTGCATAGGAAAAGCAAGTAGAGAAATGTTTTTTAAAGTCTTAGCTGAAGAAGATAATAATTTGAAAGTTTTGAGTTACTCCCCAGGACCTGTTAATACTGATATGATTTCTCACATTATGCTTGATATAAGAGACCCTGACACCAAAGATTTGTTCACAACAATGAAAAAATCTGAATCGATTCTTACTACAGAACAAACTGTACTTCGCTTAATCAACATTCTGGAAAAAGGCAACTTTGTATCAGGTTGCAGAATAGATTATTTTGATTCCGATTAATAGATGTGATTTCAAATTTCTCACAAAACGCATGAAACTTTTCGTGTGAAGTATATAGGAACAAAAAAGCATTGAAAAAAGGATTTGATTAATATGGAACAAATGGTAAAATTATCAATTATGCTTGAAGTTATGCTTTGAGAAATATAGATCTGATCAAATAGTACGTGTGTAGATTTTTATGCTTAATATTTATGTTTTATAATTGTTCTGTTTAGAAACCTTCACTGATATGAGTTTATGAATATTCTCTCTTGCATTCAGCATATTTTTATTGATCATTTCATAAGAACTTCAAGCAGAAGTGTAATTGTTTCTATTTTATATTGATGAACAGGTTGAACAAATATTTCAATATGTTAGATGTATATTTAGAATTTTTTATATAACACGAGGTATGAGAGAATGGTTATCTTTGTTTGTTCAAATCTTCTGTTTCTTCAAATAAATAACTTTCTGATTTTTACTGCTGTTATAATACAATGTGGTTAATATATATTTGTATCAGATCCGAGGTGATTTTTATTTCAATATGTGATCCTTTTACTTCAACGATAACTTTTTTTGTAATTCAAAGGGGGAATTGAATATTCTGTGAAAGTGATAAAGAACACGTAAAATTCATGACTGACTTCAGTTCAGGTTCTTACTTGACCTAGGCATTGAGTCAAGTTCAGTTCAGATTTAGACAATGGAATGCATCGACTATTAAAGAATGAATATCTGGCTTTATTGTACATTTTGATCAATAACATTAACGAAAGTTTGTGATGCAAGAAGGGGTTCCACTACAGAGTGGCCAGGGGGGAAAAGAACAAACTTAATAAAATTGATGATGGTGAAGGATACGTTTTTACAGAAAATAAATTCAATTTCAATTATATTTTTATTTAAAAAATATTACCTGAATAAATAAAAATTATACAAAAGAACATTATTTATTTAAATTTATTCAGCTTGATTCAAAATTCACAATTTAAGATGTTTGCTGATGGTGAAATACGATGCAATTGTGAGGAGTGCTGACAATGACCCATTCAACACAAAACATTTCCCAGGGCAGGCATGTTTTGTGATGCAGTTGGATTTAGTCAGACAACTTTGCTCTTATGACTTGGAGCAAGCATGACCACACCTGATGTCTGAACTAATAATCTTGAGGATGCCATTAGGACATAAGTATGTAGAGATGAAACCATGTGTAATGTAAAACAATATATTCATTCCACCTAGATACAATAGCTTCTGCTCCATCACTTCTTTCATTTTAATGAAATGGCCAAGATTGAAGTTCAGGTAGATCAGTTCGTAACTGCAGCTAATGACTGAGATATGCTGGATCTGTTTTTAGTGTAATTGATTTCATTTGGACCTGGAGTTTAGCTCTAGTGGGAAAGCAATCTCTATTTAAATGAACTAGTGCTGCTGCAGAATGGCACAGACGTTCAAAAATGTTTTGGTCTAGGTTAGCTTCTCAGAATTGACCCACCCTCTTCCCAACTGCTACCTCTCAGTGCAACAAGACATTGTTTTGATTTTCTGGATTTCAGTCTCCTGAATTGAGATATAACAATAATTATATTATAGAAAATTAAAAACTTGTCCTAAATGTAAATTTTCACAGAAAACTTTTGAGTTTTTTAGAAACTTCAGAAATCATTGGAAGAACTTATAGTCACAAATGCAATGATCTATAGAGGAAAAAAGCCTGTAGTGGAAATATTAACAATGAGAGATATTCTCCAAAAATTACATTCGTGTGGTTTTTGAAAAATCAAAAGAATATATCAAAATGATGTCGATGATATGATATTCAGTGTATATAGCACTACATGTAAAAAAGTTAAAAGGAAAATCTGATGCAGTTTTTGAGTTCTTGTTTTCAACATTGCCCCTATTTCACTCAAAATTGCATGATAACTACTTTTAAAAATGTACAGGTCATTATTAAAGACCTCACTGTGGAGAACAAATTTCATTTGAAGAAAAATCTCTTCCTTCAATAATTTAGTTGAAGGAAAAGTCAAAAAACATTTTAAACTTTTGCAATTTTCCAAAATCAAAAAAAAATTTGACGAAAATTTGTCTTAGCTGTTCACAGACAGACATTGTATTGTAAACCAATTTTTTGGTATCGCACAACATGGATTCTAACTACCAAACATTTTAGAGTATGTAACTTATTACATATACAAACAAGAATTATCCACTTTTAGGTGGTGGGGACCCACAATAAATTTTTGGGGGAAAAATTACCATTTTTTGTTGCAGCATTACATAACTATAATAGTATCTAGTATATAAGAAAATAAAAATTCTCTCTAAAATCTGAGCATGTGCAATAATGGGGAAAATTTCAAAATTATAAGGGAGATATAATATTAAGCGCAAACAAATCATTTGAAAAATCAAAGAAATGCAAATATATATAGTGGCTGATTACTTTACCTGATGTACTTGCCCAGAAAAACCTACTGCTGCATCAGTAATCAGATGTGTCGTGTTTGTTATAGAGGAATTCCTATTACACTACACAAACGTTTCTGCAGGAGGAAATGATAAAGTAACGCTTAATGTTGTAATAAAGTCTCAGATAATTCAGTTTGTTTAAGAATTGTATTCAGTTGAGTAGATGTAATGCTTTATGTGGGTATGTGTATGCAGAGTAATATACATAGTATGGAGGAAGATCAAATCAAAAGATAAAAGAGGAATATCAATTTTGAGATTTTAACGGAAATACTCATTTTGGGGTTCCCTGATTCCGAAAATAATTATTTTTCAAAACGTTCCTCTGCCCATTTGTGAATAACACACACATAACCTATTTATAGGAATTCTTTTCCAAATTGAATGTCCCCTGGATGATCTGGCTAAACTCAAAGCCCTGAGATTTTAATGGGAATTCTTTGAATTTTAAAAATATTTTACATGAAGCCAGTGGAACATTTACAAAATTTTGTCAAAATAGCTCCTCATTTTTCTTCAGATTTCTTGTAAGAAAAAAGTGATATACACAAGATGGCATTGATCCGATTTTCACTGCAAACTCTGAATTTTTGAAAATTACAAAAGAGTAATTTTTTTTCGGCGTCTTACTAAAACTACAATGTTGATGACATAGATTATTTCTTCAAATGAAATTTGTTCCCCACAATTTCTTCTTTAATTAATGCCGTGTTCAATGATTTGAAAGTATTAGTAGTTTTCGCGCAATTTTGAGAGAAATACAGACAATATTAAAAATAAGATTTTCTCAAAAACGAATCCATTTTTTTTTCTATTACCTTGTTTTCAGGTTGTACTAAATGCACTAAAAGACATGAGTAATCGTAATTTTATTTCATTTTCTAAAATTTAAATCATCTTATCTAAAGACTTTTTTCCAGCCGACTGCCAGTTACCCTTGGCGTCTCGATGAGAAGCATATTTGACTATTCACTAGACATGAACACACTTTACGGTCAACAGAACGCGAGGCAATCCGCGAAAACACATACTTGTACATGAAAGGAAAAGACAGGACAAACAACCATGCCGAAGGCGAGATTCGAACCCGCGACCCTGCTGACCGAAGCGCTGAGTCGCTACACACTCCTTTACTATTAGCTATCCATGTCGGCAAATTTACAATTGTTATTGTTTTAATATCTCTCACGTTAGTATTTACAATACGGGCGTTTTTATACTTTGTTTTATTTGGGAGTTCACGAGCTTTAAACGATTTTGTAGGAAGTTTCTCGAAAACTTTCTGCGAAATCGAGTCAAGAATTGTTGAGAAACTGCTCCAAAATGTTCCTATAATATATTTTACTGTCACACTATGCGTTCTTTTTGTGTTTTTGGTGCTCCGATTTCTGCTGGGTGCCTATATTCGGTGGATGGAAGGATGGGCGTAATTGAAATTAATAAATAATTATTTGATGAAATCAATGAACAAAATTTAATGGAAGTTATGAAGTATACTGTAAATCCTTGATCATTTTACTGAACTTATTATCAAAATTAAAAAAAATAAAATTAGTCTTATCAATAGTTACAGAATTTCTTTGGGCCAATGCGCGGCCATACCATTAAAAAAAAAAAGCTCTCTCTGAGGTTAATTAAGTCTCTCATAATGATACGCTTGAAGAGCATACTCGGAACCCAGCGCTCTGTTCCTGGCGTATCCTTCACCGATGACGATCTCCGTTGACTTCCCGAGATCGGTTTCCCGGTAGCTGTTCCGGCAGACAGACGAAGGGCGTTCCCAGGCTGGGGCGGCCGTTTCCATCAGTTTGATGGCAACGGTGAATCGCCGCATGTAGCTGAGGCAATCTTCAGAACGGCCTTCACCCGCACACATCATACCAAAGTCTTTCATTGAGTGCAGCAGGTTGTAGTAGTTCACGGAACTTGATTCCGGTAATCGCAACCAAAATAGTTCAAAAACAGTTCTGTATTAAATTTAAAGTGGGTTCGTATCAAGCTCTTTAGCAAAGATGTGCATAAACGCGACTTAACGTGCCAGGGGTGGATTCTGCAGCAGCAATGCGTACTAAAAAACGTGACTTTCCACGTCACTGTTTCAACTCTGGTGACAGCGTATAAAACGCGACCTCCGAGCTTGCAGCGCCAACTCCCGGCCTTCAACTCTGAATAAGTATCTTAAAAAAGGGGTTAACTCAAAAACCTCAGACATATCTCTCATGAAGGGAACTGCACACCAATCGCTAACACGAGGAAGTCTTCCCTCGTCACCCGACAAGAATCTCCCTCCTCTCATTTCCCCTTCCTCCAAATCTCGATCCCAGATTCCTCCCTTCCATGAAAATTTTGTATCACCATTGGTCTGAAAATGCTGGGTCGTTAGAAAATCCAAGTCAATCATCGAAGGATTCTGGAAAGTTCTTCCCTTGAAATTTCCATTATCTCTGTCTCACTCTTCCAAAACGTTTATACCGGGCAAGCAGCGCGTTTAGTCGACGCTGATTGTGCGATTTATAGCTTCGTCGTAATATTTATCTATCACACCCAGAGATTTTTCTAATTACGCAGAGTCGCGTAAGTTCTGGCGTGTGGGTTGGGAGAGGGCAGCCCTGAGCTTGGGTCCTTGGCGCGTACCTAAACAAGGGAGCGGTTGGAGGCTGCCCACGCGTCTCCGACGGGGCGGCGCACGTCGGGAATTCTTTGGGGGAGGGCGCCAGCCACCCTGCGCAGTCGAAATCCCCGCACAAAGGAATCTCGTGTTCTTTGCATTACGCAACATTTCTACAGTATTCTGCAGATCTGGCCCGTAAATTATCATAAAATTAAACACTAAACTCTATGCCGCCACACTACGGATAGTGCAAAACACTGAATAGCATGACTTATTTGCTAATTTGATATATTCTTTTGTTTGTTTTTATTACAGGAATGGAATATTTTTGTAACATCTCGCACGTCAATATTTACATTGTGAACGTTTGTTATACATTAGGCATTTTTGAGTACAATTGCTTCAAATTGCGAATTTCCAGACGAGTGCAGGTGAAAATCGGAGAGACGGACAGAGGTTTTCAACACTTGGAGGAGTAGGACATGCAGGGGAAGGTTGCAGACGCTTGGAGGAGACAGACGTGTGGTGGGAGGTGGTAGATGCTCGGAGGAGCAGGAGGTGTGGGATACCGAGTCGGATAGGACCACAGGCGAGAGTAAATAGCTCCAAGTTCACGACACTTTCGGGAGCTCGCGGCACCGCGTTATAACGTAAGACGAGCTGCTAAATGCCAGAAACGAGCGAGAACTGAGACGGTGACTAAGGCTGAAACAGAGCGCGGACTGCGTACATTGGTACACCAGGGAGCCTGTGTCGACAAGCATCCAACCGACGGCCAGGAAACCGCCCAGCTGAAAAGGGCATTGACCTCAGCGTCATGACATCAGATGACATTCCCACTGTGCCGCCGGTCGCGGCGATTTACCTGCTGCGGTTCCTTTGTTCGTCGTCGCCCGAGGATCGGCGAAACCTACTCCTGCACAACCCATCCCCTTCCACCGCGGGAAGCGGTGCGGCATCAGAAGAGACTTTCCGCTTGACGGAAGCGCGCCGTCGTGGGAAGGCTCCATTAGGGGTAGCAGACAGGAAGGTCGTCGAAAAGCGGCGATCAACCGGCCAGCGGTTCCCGACGACGCCCGATCGGAAGGCAGCGGTAGTAATTGGCGATCGAACTGAAACCAGAAGTCGGCGCATACCGTATCCATACCAAATAGGTTGTTTCCATTGTTCTACCAGTCCCCTTACCATTACAGTTGAACAATCCACAGGTTTCTAATTTTTCTTTCCAATGTTATTTCTTTGGAATATCTTAATGTTTTTCTTTATCATTAAATAGAATGACCTCACGCTACTTGGTTTAACTGATTTAGATTTATCCTTCTTCCACAGATACATGTACACCCTTAATTTATTATTAAGGCATTACACCCTGAGGAAGGTTGCCGAACGGCGACCGAAACGTCGGCATCTTCGCCATGGACGCGGCATCACCCGGACAGCCAATTAAATACTGACTGCGGCCATGGAAGCCTATACGCTCTTACCCTTAATTTGTTTCCATTCACGAAACTTAAGCAATAAGCTTTTTCATAAGACTTTGAAGATTTAAAAGGAATAACTATTTTTCTGGCTTCTTGAGCTTCCTTCTGCATTTCAGAAATGTTTTCATTCAAGTTTTAGTCAGTTTGAAAGAACTTTCACTAGCACCGCAAGTAATCTCAGTTGCCCCCTGTTTGTTTATTTAACATTTATTAGCAACCTCACAATATAACGACCGACGACGCTAATGTCATAGGCAAAATATATAATTTTAAGTTATTGCAAAGTGGGACTTAAATAAAACATTGTATTATTCATGGTGCATATTCTAAGTGCATTTAATTTTTTGGCTGGTTAATCTATGAGGCTAATGCCTCACCGATTAATTTCCCAGCCTTTATATTAAGCGGTCACTAGACTTCATATAATAAAATACTATTATAATGATTGTAGCAGGCTTCAGTTGCACAATCCACGCAGTTGCACAGCAATAATGAACATATTTATAGTGGGAAGTGAAATACCTACGCCATAGTTGCACACCAGATGAGATGCAGGTAATATTCGGGAGCACCAGAGAATATAATACATACGGTATAATAGTTGTTCTGGTATTACACATTATGGTTATTTCCATCATGGTATTAAGTTTTCTTGAGCCCTGGAATACTTTCCCCTACTCCTTTACTAAGTAGTTGAATTGCGCACAAATAGCAATAGCGTTATTGACAATATCTGATGACCAGAAATGTTTGCTCCTGTGTATCAGAAACTATTTTGCATGGAAAAATGATCCACAGATTTGATATAATAGTCACATTGTAAAAAGATGCCCAAAGTTCTTTGTAAGATTTTTTAAACATACTCAATGGGGCCTGAAGAACTAGTTGCTTTGCTATTCAGAAAACGTGAAACAAAAATATTCTTATGCGCTAGGCAGTAGAGGATAAATAAACAAACTGTTTGCGTGTAAATGTTAATATGCGTGCCATGAAGTAAACATTTGCATTTTAACATGTTTTAATATTCATTTTTTTACATTGCAAAGGTTATATTTCATTACAATATTTATTATAGCATATAAATTTTACAATGAAGCACTGTAGATTGCTCAAGTTTAAGACCCCTTTAGATTAACCAGGACCTAAAGGAAAACAAAATATATTATTTGATACAAATAAACGTGGGAAATAAAGAATATTAAAAATTGTAAAAAAGAGAATTAATTTAAAAAGAAATAACTTACATTATGAAAATTGTAAAGGCACGCTAGCATTTCCAGTGATTCACAAGTGGAACACCCACCTCTCTTCTTCATCTTCATCCCCTCAGTGCTCTTCTTCTACCCCCGAATACCTGTGTTATAAAAGTCACAAAGTTATTCTAAAAACACCCTGGGCTTCATGGACATTTTATTAAAAGAATTTATATTACCCACAAATTTAATAATAATAAAAGCAGTAAACAAAAGTAAGAAATATTGTGCAGATGTATGATGATGAAGTATGATTTTCTAACATATCCCACCAGAAGGTAATTGTCGTGGCTGACAGATTCCATTGTGGAAAAGTGCTTAAGTCACTTTAGCTTTTAAAGATTATAAGATAACTTTTAAAGATCAGTGAATATGGACTACATGTATGCTGGAAAGGCCTTGCTCTTCTGTTTATCTACAACACAGTGCATATCTCCATTCCATTTAGCATCCGAGATAAGCTGGGAAAGCACTGCCACTGTTTGTGAGGTGACTTTGACAAGGAGGTCCTGTAGTTCATCGGTAGCAGATTTGATATTGGCTTGATAAGTAGGAGGAATTTAAAACTACTGCCTGGCAGAGAATTTTAACTAACGGTTGCTCTGTACAGAAGTTTTCCACGGATCCTCTGATCAATATCAGGTGAATGCTGGAGCTGTACCCTATCAAACAGACTGCATGTGTTGGCTGGGCTGTCCGGGACGAGCCGCGTCGATGTCATGATGGTTAACGTTTCGGCCAGCGTATTGTGGCCTTCTTCAGAGCGTACTGCTGAAGAAGGCCACAATACACATTCAGCAGTACACTCTGAAGAAGGCCACAATACGCTGGCCGAAACGTTAGCCATCATGACATCGACGCGGCTTGCCCCGGATAGCCCAGCCAATATAAACAGTGGCCGCGGAAGCCTACGCAACCAGACCGCATGTGACCTTTCCTTCCTCTTCCTTGTCCTATCCTCCCCTTACTCACTTTTACATTTACACGTACTACATTACCACACATGCCAGGAGACCAGCTTATCCTGGCTGGGGCAGTGCTACATAGGTAGGTGCCAGATCTCACCATCCAGAGGAAGGATGATTGCCACCTCCAGCTATAAAAAAAACATTAATTACACTAAAGGGATTAATTACCATAGTAGTTGACATGCCCCTAAACATCAATCTCCATTCTCTAGCTGGTCTTTTACCCACAGATTCTTCTTATATGATAGAAAGAATAAAACAATTATTCAAAAAAATTTAAGGCTAGTGCTCATTGACATTTTACTAATACAAATAATTTACATTACCTATCATTTTTTTTTAAGTCACTGCTTGCCCTTAACATTCTTTATGAGCTATCATGTAATATTTTTTGTAAATGTTCAATTGGAACAAGAAAAGGAGAATTCTGCAAATGGGAATATTTATGCCTCTTCAACATAGAGAGAAACTTGACTGACAAATGTAGCAATAAATAAAAGTAAGAAATACTGTGCAGTTATTCCAATGCAGGATTTTCTAACATAACTCACCTGAAGGTCATTATCTCGTTAGACGGATTCAATTGCAGAAAAGAACTGAAGTCTCTTCTGCATCTACCACATTTCTGCTTACATTCTAAAATAGAAAAATATTATTTATAATGTATCTTAACACCTTTTTTGTTTACATTTTGTTAATGTTATGTAACTATTTCTGTAGTAAGTGATTTCATTGACTGTCACTGAATGAAAATCAAATTTCATATATGTACTAAAAGGCGAGTGGATATGCTTCGAATCAATTTAAAAAAACAAACAAATTTTAACTCTTAGAATATTTCTTGGAAAATAAATTAATATGACCATTCTACATGACATCAATTTGTGAGAGCAGAACTCTCAGCAAACAAAAATTGCCATAGGGCAGTTTCTGTGTCAGGCAAGGGGATGAACTGATAACGAGTTTTTCTCCGAATTTAATTTATCAAAACTATTCTACCTATTAAACCATATTTTCATAAATAACTCTGCTAAACCTTGTAAAGTAGTGGATATACTTTTATCAATGTACATTAATTTGTTTTCATTATGTGTATAAAATTGCATACACTTTTTTTAAATAGTAGAGGAGGAAAAATATTCATATTACTGATAATGCAAATGAAAAAAGAAATCAGTGCAATAACTATACTAGTTCATATACCCAACAATTTTCAAAATTCTTGACAGTTGTCAGAGAAAAAAAAGCAACATTATGTATACACATTTTGTAGGGAATGAGGTGGCACCCTTACCTTGAACAAAAGACAATTTGGGGGGGCCAAAAAAATAATTACAAAAACCTCTCATTGCTTTTGATAAATATCAGGGCAGATGCTTTGCCAAGTGACAGTTTGCTTCTTTTGTCAGTAATTATCTGCCCAGCTTCGGAGAAATGCCTTTCACATGGGACAGACGTAACCAGTACACATAGGTACTTCTGAGCCATGTCCTTTAGGCCTTTCTCCCTCCCAGAATTCAATGGGATCTGTGGTGTAATGGTATGGGGGAGTTTGCAGGTAGTGCCTGAACTGCAGTATTGCAGTGGACATGGCTGTCGTATGATCATCCTCCTCCTCTTCTTGAATGAGAAATCTCAGTACTTCAGGCCCCGGCCAGTGCAGGTTGTGGCTCCCCTGCCCTGCCAATGAGGCTTTGGTTTTGAACAAAATCTTGGTTCAGTGAAGCCGTCACCTAAGGATTGTAGAAATTAATATAAGAAATGCAACGATTAATTTGAAATAATTTCACAACACAAAATAGTCTAGTTTTGGAGTTAAGAGATAGTACCAAATAGTCCTCCTGTCTTTTCATTCAAAAATATTTATTGTTATTCATTACTTACAATGAAACACTATCAAAGTGGGTGATTTAAATTCTTTTGTTACGATGAATTTATTTGCATGATTATCAAGAGTTAAAAAAATTATCTTTTCAGTCCAAGGCATCTAACAAAGTAAAATCACTAACTTTTAGAGGCACTTGAAAATTCAGAAATTTATTTTTTAAACTGCAATCACTTCTCAAAATATGAAACCAGCAGTTGCACTGAAAGATGTAATTTTTTAAAACCAAAACTATATCATCCAGTTGATTTTAATAGATTTCTTTGGAAGGCAAGCACTTCAGTCCCAATACTGAATTCCTTTTTACAACATTTTTACGGCACTTTAAATTTTTACCACACTTAAAAAGTTTCCTATATTTGTAATATGGTTGTTTTTTTTATCAATTTATACTAATAATTGAACAATTTCTTATTAGGCTTTAGGAGACTCTTTTTAGATAATGAATTTCAGAGAAGTAATTTGAAAAAAATTATAAGTTATAGGATATTAACTAATATTTAAAAGGTGAAACTTACATGTGGTAGAGAAAAAGTGACCCAAAAAATTGTTTCTGGCATCTTCAAAATAATTAATGTAATTTATAACAAAAACATGGACAACAAACTTTGCTGCATATAGTTATTTTGTTTCTTTAGTGATTCGTAGGGTACAAACTAAAAATTTCCCTCCTGCATTGCCTTCCCTGTATAGTATGCTAAACACATATTCATTGCCATTACTTATTTTGGCTATGCTATCTCGAAAGTTGAGAGCCATTTTCGAAAATGTACAAGCAGAAAGGATCACTTCATCACATGATGGAAAGTGACGCAATTTTAAAACTGCAAACAATTAGAAATGTAATTTCTCACAAGAAAATTCTTCCTCCTATGTTTTCACAGATGAATGAAAACAATTCAGTCCAGGCTGGATTGTTACATAAAAGCAATAACAAAGAGTGTTGTCAATTGAAGAGAATACTAGTAGTTTTTCTGTAAACTCTCGTGATGACATTGTTGTCTTTTATCATTCACTGGGTTTTATTAAATAATATTTACAGGCAGGCCAACTGCTACACAACAGTCATTTCACCCATTAGTAGAGAAAGGTTTATCTCGGAAGGTGGCGGCATGCCTCTCAGCTGGATAGTGATATCTGGTGTCGACCTACACATCAGCTTGGCAGGATTTCCCTCTCCGAGTATCTCCTTCCAGCAGGGTACCACCCTAGCGAGGACAGGCTCTAACCTCCCGGCCCGTGTAGTAGTGTAATGCATTTATATGTAAGTAAACATCGAAGATAGTACAATGAAGAGGAAGGAAAGATCATGTGCGATCTGTGGCCGGTTTGTTAAGGTACTACTCCGGCATTTGCCTGGAATTAATCAGAGAAACCACAAAAAACGAACAATCAGAGCAGTTGGCAGCAAAAATTCTCCTCCTGACAGTAGTTTAAATAGACTAGTAAGTAACACTGTCGGGATTTGAAGTGGCTGTGAGGGCGGCAATGCTGGCTCTGAGCCACATTCAGTGGGAAGTCCCAATACTTGGGACAGTGGTGGATTTTCATCCTAGTTAGATTGGAGGGAGAAATTCAACCACTATTCAAAGAACTCCAGTGGCCGGCTGCTCAGACCGATAGATTTCTGAGGTTTCTCTGTCCAATGCCGGAAAATCCTCTAAAATGGATCAAACTGATCATTTGTCATCATTCCCCTCCTTCTTGCATCCTTCTCTTTACACTTGCATGCACAATATCGGGAGAAAAGTTGGGAGTTTCCATCTTGCCCAGCTGAGGCCCGGAATGACAAGTAATTCTATAAACATTAGAAGTGAAGTAGTAGAGGTGAAGTGTGTTACATCCAACTGACAGCATGCAGGAAAAATGTAAGAATCGTCGGTCAAAGCAATAAGCTCTTACCTTGCGTTCCACTGCCCGTCTCACATCATCAACTGGTCCTTACAATATGAATCCCTTTTTTATTGAACCTTGGGTCCAGTAAAGTCGCGAACTGCGCCAACTCCACTGAGGACTCGTACCGATTGAGTTGACTTCGGACTTCCGTTATAAATTCGGCCCCATAGGAGTAGTTGGCGCCATTCTGCCAAGAGATTTCACTATATACCATACACGAAGAATTATTTGTAACAAACAGTTCTCCAGATACGCTGCAAGTAATAATGCTATTGACTCCAGAGTGGTGACGTCCTCCCAAAATCATCCAGTCTTCGGCTGAAACATAAGAATACATGTTAAAATACTAATTATAAAAAATGCCAAGATTATACACGTCCTTAAAAAATGTCGTTCCAATATCATGCGCCAACAATGACAAAAAATTATGACTTACCGGTCAGAACTAGCGGCGCATTGCACAATTGAGACTGGACAATGATGAGATGATCCTTCACTTCCAGTAATCATCTCATCATCGCCAGCAATTGCCAGCTTGCTATTCCAGCGGGTTGGGACCTGCTGGATAAGCCGCAACTCTTAAGCTCGTGCCGGTTTTTGTTGGTTGCGGGGGCGATCGGAAGCCCGAGTGCTGTGCTTGTTTTCAACATGTACATTTCAACATTACGAATCTTCCATCCATCATATATTGGGGGGGGGATACTTTAAAACTTACATAAAAATACTGATTATCTCTCCACATTAAGCAAGGACCTCGACCAACCTCTGCACAAGAGTGATGGCGAGACAACTAAATGTAGTGTGTGAGGCTCACACTGTGAGCCATACACGGCAGCTGCACGGCTGATAGGGGATTTCCCGCAGATTTCCGCGCAGATACCGTCACAACTGGTGAACGATTTCAACGATTCACCATGATTCAACGAATCAGTCCGAAAAGTAATCCGACTACCGGTTCAATGAACAGTTGGGGCCCTGGGAAACTTGGCGGTCAAAACGGGGTAATGATTTTACGTCATCTATACTACAGCAGGTCTGTACTGAGCCGAACTAAACGTGTGACGTCATGCAATTCAAAAAGCTGGCAATGTAGGCGGTGTTTGTTTTTGTTAGTGCAGGCTTCATGCAGGCAGGTACTCTTTTTTATCCAAAATTTTCAGCATTTTGTTAGTATATAGACTGTCATGCTTTTTAGTAGAGTGAACTGTGTCGCGATATTTATTTGCCTTATCTAAAACTTTGTTTTCGGTATTTTGGAAGATGATATTAAGAAGACTGGTGGTAGACAAATTCATTGCTAGGATTTTCGCCCTACCAGCAGTGGAGGTATTTATAATTCATTTTGGGATCTTGTTGCATAATTGTAATTTATTATTTCATTTGTGAGCATTTACACCATCCAAAATAGTCTAACAAATCCTTAAATCCATGTAGTATAACCTAACCTGAGTACATGTATAATTTATTTTGTTGTATTTGTTTAAAAGTAATGTAATTATATTATTTCTAACCAATCATTTCGTATGGTATTGGACAAGTTTTGTAATAAATCCATTGTTTGCAATGCCCTGGAATTTCAAATGCCTCATTTTCTAATATACATAATTCATTATTGTTTGCATTTCTAGAATAGGTACACTCTCATTAGTGTATGATAAAGTGTAATGTAATGTAAATGTAATGTTTCAAATTAATTTAATTTGCTTAGGTGTACGAATTACGTTTCCATTATGGAGATGATATTCGAATTGCCAAATGTTTTGAAGAGATAACTGGCAAGATATAAACGAATTGGACTTCACCAACATTAGAAGATGGAATTGTATCAACAGTGTTTCCTACAAGCACAGTCCTC